ACTTTAACTTAAATCCCAAATCTAGCCCCCATTGACTTAGAACCATTGATTATATAACTTGACTATTCCACATTAGCAATAAATCCACATGGCTTGCTGACTGGATTTAAAGTAATATTCATTATCTTATTCTCTAAGCCACAATTTGAAGAATAACGGTAAAACTGTTCGTATCCTTCACTTCACTGACAAGTCAAAAATATCTCCAGATTGAATCTCTCTGGCCAAACGTAATCCAAACCTGACCACCGCCTGCCGACAGACGCCATGGACGAGATTCGCCAAGCTCACCACCATAACCTTCTTTCTCAAACAATGGTGTAAGTTAACAGGGGGCCAGATTTGGGATCATGATGAAAGTTGGTGATTTTTAATGAGACAAAAAAAAATTAGGGCCAAAATTGTTACTCAACCTAAAGTTGGTGCTTTTTTATGGGACAAAAAAAAGTTCGGGCCAGAATTGTCCCTCGACCTAAAATTGGTGCTTTTTTATGGGACAAAAAAAGTTCGAGCCAGAATTATCTCTTGACCTAAAGTTTGTGCTTTTTTATGGGACAAAAAAAAGTTCGGGCCAGAATTGTCCCTTTACCTAAAGTTGGTGTTTTTTTTTGGAATTATGCCTCAAAACAAGAGGGATTGGAACCACAGAACAACCTGCGGATATCTTCACCAAACCTTTATGCCAAAGACAGCATACATATCTACTGAGCAAGCTAGGTGTCTTGGACATATATAAACCACCAGCTTAAGGGGGAGTGTTGGAAGATATGCCTGAATCAATCATGATTATAATTGATACATTAAATCAATCCGAGATTGTAGTTGATTAAATGAATCAATCTAGGATTAGGATTGATTATAGAGAAGATATCCTTTCCTCTTATTGTGCATATCTTGTATTATATAATGAGCATTGTACATGTAAACATACAAGCTACAGAAATACAAAATTAGCTTCTCCTTCACTCTTGGTTCCAGCTCTTCTTTTTCGATTTGTGACACTGAAAATAAAATTGCGTTTTCAGAAACAAAACACCCGTCTCGATGCCTGTGATTGCTCCTAATGCAATCTTCTCCACTGCACTACCATGCCCTTCTTCGTCTGCGATCACTCCTAATGCAAGAAGAATCCACCTAGTCAAGCGTCAAAACTATTGATTTTTGTGAAAAAGGTTGTGGTTATTAAGTTGACAATATTGCTTAAGGAAGTTTTAACCAAGATGATGAAACTAGGCATGTAATGAGTTGTACATATAGACGATATACATTCACAAAGAATCAGCAATTAACCTAAGCCAAGGATGAAAGTCCATCCAGATGCAGTGGCCATCAGATGATCAAAGTTCATATGGAAAGATAGTTGCTGGCTCGTGTTGTAGAAAGGGTGTTGGAGAAGAAGAACAAGCGGATAAGTGTAATAAATGTCCTAAAACTTATCGAAAATGCAATTGAGTCCAAAAACTTTCAAAAAATGCAAATAAATCCTAAAAAAATCATGAAAGTACAATTGAGTCTTAAAATGCAATCAAGTTCTAAAACTTATCAAATTGACTCAATCAAGTCTTTCTGTTGATTACACTTTTTGAAAGTTTTAGGACTCAATTGCACTTTCGTGATAACTTTTAGGACTTTATTATATTTTTTTGAAAGTTTTAGGACTCGATTGCACTTTTGTGCCAAGTTTTAGGACTTGACACTTTTTGAAAGTTTGAGGACTCAATTTCACTTTCATGATAAGTTTTAGAACTTCCGGTGCACTTGTCCCAACAAAAAATAAGAATGAAATCTTTGAGGCATGCAAGTAGTCATGGCCACGGGCCGGTTTTGGCTCGGAACCGGCCCGATCAAACCCGGGCCCGGTCCGTTGACGGGGCCCGCGGTTCGGAACCGGAACCGGCCCGTGGCCTACAGGCCCGGTTCCGGTTCAAGTTCCAAATTATTTTTTTTAAAAAAAATTTCATTATTGAATTTTTTTTTATAAAACAAATTGAATTCTAATTGCCATGCATTGTAAGTGCATTGATCTCCAATTGCAATGCTTGGCTTGGGTGTATTGAACTCTAATTACAAGGCTTGGCTTGGGTTTTATAAATAACCCCTTTGATGGTCTTTTCATTCCCATTTTATGTGGGACTCTCGATTTGCCTTGAACGCCTTCAATATGAGACTCTTGACTTGTCTTCATGTAAATGCCAAGAGTCCCACATCGAATGGGAATGAAGAGACCATCAAAGGAGTTGTTTATAAAATCCAAGTCAAACCATGAGCATGTGAAGTTGTATGCCTTTTGTGGCTACGATCCTTTGCTAGTTAAGAGCAAAGGGTTCCATTGGACCGCCTAGAACCGGACCGGACCAATGGTCCGGTTCCCGGTTCTATGGTTTGCCGGTCCGGTTCCTAGTTCTAAAATTAAAAGACCGGTCTTACCGGTTCGGTTCCCGGTTCCGACCGGGAACCGATCACCCCTACAATTTTCATTTTGATTATAATTTATTTTGAATAATTCATTATTTCATATTTTTATAATTATTTATTTTTTTATTTCATAATTTATTTTTTAAAATTTTAAATTACGAACCGGAACCGGCCGGACCGGAATCGGAACCGCTAGGGGTGGTTCCGATTCTGGTTCACACATGGCCACGAACCGGAACCGCCGGTTCCGAACCGTGGCCATGACTACATGCAAGTACTATCCTTAAGTATAATTCCACCCTTCGAATTACTAAACTTGGTGCATAAGGCTCTAGCATCCTAAAATAGGACAGATTTTTCTCTTTGCTTCGTACAAAATACATGAACAACAATGTTGTACGTTAAATGTAAAGATAAGATATTTTTGGAATGTTTTTATTGTGATAAGAAAATTCTAATTATGGCCAAATAAGTTAGAGTTAATAAAGAAATAAATCAAATTAGCTGTTACAAATTTATAGCGATAATGATTTTCATTAAATCTATTATAAAACAATTGCTTTGAATAATTTAAAACCGTTGAAATATCCAACCACTAGTGCATATTCAGCATCACACTCACTAAGGGTGATCGGTTCACGGTCTAATCTGGTTCCAAGGTGGAACCGGTTCCGGTTCGGTCCAATGGAACCGGTCACTAAGGGTTTAGTTTTTTTTTTTTGTCAAACACTTAGGGTTTAGTTCACATTTTACTAATTTTTGTCAATGAAGTTCACCTAGGGTTTAGTTCACATTTAAATAATTTTTGTCAATGAAGTTCACTTAGGATTTAATTCACATTATACTAATTTTTTGAAAAAAAAATTAAAATATATATAGTTGGTCCTGTCCGGTTCCCCCTTGGAACTGGGAATTGGACCGCCCAAATACCGGTTCCAATTTTAGGAATCGAGAACCGGACCGACACTCCCAGGAACTAGAGCAAACCAGCCGGTTCGGTCCGGTTCGGGCGGTCCATTTTGCACACCCCTGCCAATCACTCTGATAATGTATATCTTATCTGAATTAATTGTTGGAGTGATTTCCTCGTAATCTTTTTTGGTTTATTATTGTCACTTCTTGTTTTCTTGAGCAAGCATAGTTAAGGGTTTCTTTCTTCGGTGGGGAAAGAGGAGTTTGATGGGAGATCCACTCTCTCCTTATTTATTTATTTTACTTTTTACAATTGTCGTGGAAGTGTTTTCCAACCTTCTTATTTCCGCTGCAGCACAACAATTTAAGCACCGTTTCCTTTACTCTGAAGCTCGTCTTACATGATTTGATGAAATTTTTTGGGGATAAAAACTTTATCGGTGTCAAATATTAATACAACGTCCACTTTGGTGCCTCTAGCGCTTTTCCCTCTTGTGATCATACTATTTTTATTGAGCCAAGACATAAGTCCAGATGCTGAACATAAAATCGCGTTTTGGAAAACAAAACACCCGTCCCGATGTTTGTGATCACTCCTAATGCAATCTTCTTGATTGAACTATCATGCCCTTCTTCATCTGTGATCACTCCTAATCCAAGAAGCTTCCGCCTAGTCAAGCCTCAAAGCTATTGATTTTTGTGAAAAAGATTGTGGTTATTAAGTTGTCAATATTGCTTAAGGCAGTTTTAATCAAAATGACAAAAATAGGCATGTAAAGAGGTGTACGTATGGACGATATATATTCACAAAGATCCGGCAATTAACCTAAGCCAAAGATGAAAGTCCAACCGGATACAGGTGGCCATCAGTTGATCAAAACTCATATGACAAGATAGCTGCTGGCTAGTGTTGGAGAAAAAGAAAAAATAAGAGTGAAATCCCATCAAATCTTCCTCTTTACTCGGTACAAAATAAATAGAGGGAACAGGAGCTAAATGGAAAGATCAGAGAGATTTTCTTATTTTTGAAATTTCTTTTTTGTGATAAAAGAATTTCTCACTATAGACAAAAAAATGAGAGTTAATAAAAAAATAAATCAAATCAGCCGTTACAGATTGATCGCGGTCATGATTTCCATTAAATCCGTTATAAAACAATTGCTTTAAATAATTCAAAACCGCTAAAATATCCATCTGCTAGTGCATATTCAGCAGCACACTCACTCTGATGATATAATCTTATCTAAATTAATCCTTGGAACTATTTCCTCGTAATCTTTTCTGGGTATTATTGTTACTTCTTTTTCTGAATCATTTTTTTTATGAAGAATGCACGTTGTTAAATTCTACCCGACTGAATGGAAGAGGAACAGCTGGTTAGGTTCGTTAGCAGATTTCATTACATAATATCTTTGCCTTGTATAGTAAGCAATCAGATTTCTTTTATATTTATGATTGTCCAATGCTCAATTCTGGGCTTCTTCGATTGTGGTCGATCAGAATAGATTGCCAAAAAAGAAAGAAAAGATTTACGTACTGCATTCTTTCCGAAATCGCATATTGCTTTAACTGCACATACTTGGTCCTTTCCTTCACTTGCATGACCATCATTTCTTATATTCTATAAAACCCTCTTCAAATCTCCTGCTTTGCTCATCCATATGATCATCTGTTTAATCCCACACAAGTTTCTCTTTAGCCGTAAGAGCAATCAGACGACAAGCGCAATATCGATGGAGGATCTCGGGTTCAAGAGGCTAATGGCAATGGCGGCAATGTTGGTGTTAATTCTCGGTGCATCCGCGGCACAAGTGCAGAGTGATAATTCTTGTTTTGATGATTGTATCTCGGATTGTGCTGATAGCCGTATCCCAGGTTGTTACGCCAAATGCGTAGCCGCACATCATTGTCATCACTCTTTGAGTACTCTTCTTGGTCACTGTGAGCTTGGATGCAAAATCACCAAGTGCATTGGCTTGAGATCGGGTACAGATCTTGTCCCTCAATCCTTGATGTTGTTTATTTTTCATCTGTATCTTCTTTTTAACAATTGAAAAGCTTAGGTTATTAGGGTTTTTGTGTTTGCATAATGAGAAACTACTTTCGGAGACACGTTATTTCGTGCCATCTGAATTGATTATATTGATATTTTCCCCTCTAGTACATAGCTCAAGAGAAATATATGATTTTTTAGGTTTGCTGAAATCTCATTTTTTGTCCCTTAAGAAATTGAGTGTTTATCGTCTTCTTTTTCTTTTTATGGTGACTTCTTTATAGTTACTTTTTCATTAAATGTTAAGAAATCTTTCAAGCCAGATTTTGAAATAAAGAATTGACTTTTTTCGATTCGATCATGTTTTCCTTATAATAGAAAATTTCCTCTATCCATATTTTGGATCTGCGGGTTTTTTTTTTCGTTTTGGTGTGTTTCGTTTTTGTACCTTGTTCGATTGCCATGTGAATTGTCTGCAACCGACCGATCAAAAGCCTGATTAAAGAGCAAAACGTTGTTGTGTCCAATCTAACATTGTGGATTACCCTGGTTTATTTTCTTCCTCCGAACTTCTAAAGGTTTCTTTAGTTATCTGCTCTGTCCTCTTCTTTATTTCCCAAGTAGAATGTTTTCTAATAAAAGTTTAACAATACTTGCAGTTGCCAAGGAGCTTGGAGTATGTGCAAATGCATGCTCGAAAGATTGCAAAGCAACTTATAATATTCCGCATTGAAAGTCGTGACCATGTTATGTACTCGATAATAAGAATGAGTTAATGAGTCAATGAAAGACTGCTATTCGCATATATTTAAGCTTTGACTCTCCTCCTTCGAAAGTAACTATTATGAGGTTGAAAGTAGACCTGTCAAATAGGTAGATCGGGTCGAGTCTGGATCGGATCACAAATGATCCGATCTAAATTGACCCATTAATCCGTTTACGATCCATTTATACGCAATGCAATTTTCCTGACTCGTACTCGACCCGACTCGATCTATATTGCTAAAACACTTACATATTTAACTAAATCTAAGAAAACTCATACCTAAACTGATATGAGAGTGCGTAATAAGTAAGCACGAGATTTAAGTAAGCACGAGATTGAGTGAGGGCGAAAGAGATGAGTTGAATTTAAATAAGCCATAAACCCATTTATGATTTATTTATGACCCATTTAACATCCATATTATATCTATACCCATTTATCACCCATTTACTAAATATAACTAACTTATTTATGGCTTATTTACTAATATGTGGGTTAAAAAATGGATTTATGACACATTTTGATAGGTCTAGTTGAAATCATGTCCTTGAATTTGCATACTATGTTTCATTTATGGGGATCTCGAAAAGCACTGATTTGACTTTGTCAATTCGATTCACTTGCATTCCTTAGCTAGCATTGTTCAGAGTATCTTTCTTTGGCAGGCAAAAAGGAGTTACATAAGGAGATCCCCTCTCTCCTTTATTTTTCTTTTTGTGATTGTTGTGGAGGTGTTTTCCAACCTTCTTAATTCAGCTGCAGAACACTATCGGTGTCAAATATTAATACAACGTCCACTTTGCTGTCTCTAGTGTCTTGCCCTCATCTGATCGGACTATTTTTTGTGGGCCAAGACATAAGTCCGGATGCCGAAGATAAAAACGAGTTTTTGAAAACAAAACACCTATCCCGATGTCTGTTATCACTCCTAATGCAATCTTCTCCACTGCACTACCATGCCCTTCTTCGTCTGTGATCACTCCAAATGGAAGAAGAATCCGCGGGAAAAGTACAGCACGAGTGCCATAACGTTCGTACGGCGCTTACTTAAGTGCCATAACTTTTTTTTGCTCACTTAAGTGCCACGTCGGAGTAAAATAGATCATTTGAGTGTCACTTCCGGCAAATCGTCCTACATGGCTTTTTTAATTAATTTTCCATCCGACGTGGATTTTTTAAATGTTTATTATTATTATTTTTAATTTTATTCATTTATTTATTTTGATTTTTAGTTCTTTTCTTTTCTTTTTTTAATTTTCTTATTTTTTTTCAGGGCCAGCGAGGGTCATCGGTGACCCTCATCGGTTGCAAAGCCCTCGCCCAATGGGGGAGGGCCGCCTTGCCCTCCACCTCGAAGGCCCGGGCAAGGCCATCGCGGCCTCGCCGGCAGTGGGCAAGGCCGCAAAGGCCATCGCTAGATCTGGGCAACCGCGGGCAAGGCGACCTCGCCAGATCTGGCTGCAACACCTTGCCTGCGACCGCCCAGATCTGGCGACGGCCTTCGCGGCCTCGTCCAATGGGCGAGGGCTTCACAACCGGCAAGGGTTGCCAGTGACCCTTGCCCGCATTACAAAAAAAAAAAAGCTAAAAAAAGGAAAAGAAAATTTCAAAATTAAAAAAAGTAATAAAAAAATTCCAAAAAAAGTAAAATATTCAAAAATATATTTAAAAATTATCCACGTCAACGCCGGCGAAGCCACATCAGACGATCGGCATCCACGTCGGATTTTCCAGCGAGGCAAATCGCCGATGACATTTAAGTGATCGTTTTTTCAAATTGTGGCACTCAAGTGAGCGAAAAAAAAAGTTATGGCACTCAAGTGAGCGCCGTACAAAAATTATGGCACTCCTAGTGTTCTTATCCAAGAATCCGACTAGTAAAGTGCCAAAGATATTGTTTTTTTGTGAAAAAGATTGTGGTTATTAAGTTGATGATATCTCTTAAGGAAGTTTTAATCAAGATGATGAAAATAGGCATGTAATGAGTTGTATTTATAGACGGTATATATCCACAAAGATTCAGCAATTAACCTAAGCCAAGGATATCCGGATACTGGTGGCCATCAGCTAATCAAAGATCATATCGAAGGATAGCTGCTGGCTAGTGTTGTGGAAAGAGTGTTGAAGAAGAAGAAAATGGGAAAAGTGCATTGGTAGTCCTAAAACTTGTCATGAAAGTGTAATTGAGTTCTAAAAATTTCAAAAAGTGCAATCATGTTAAAATTTTCAAAAAGTACAATAAAGTAATTTGTCAAAGTGGTTCAATCAAGCCTTTCCGTTAATTACGCTTTTTTGAAAGTTTTAGGACTCGATTGCTCTTTCATGACATCTTCTAGGAATTAATTGCACTTTTTTGAAAGCTTGAGGACTCAATTGCTCTTTTGAAACAAGTTTTAGGATTTGATTGCACTATTTAGAAATTTTATGACTCAATTTCACTTTCATGACAAATTTTAGGACTTCCGGTGCACTTATCCCAAGAAAAAATAGAAATGAAATATTTGAAGTGTGCAAGCACTGTCCTTAAGCATAATTTCGCCCCTCGGATTACTAAACTTGGTGCATAAGGCTCTAGCCTCCTAGGATACGATAGATCTTCCTCTTTACTATGTATGTAATAAGTAAAGGGAACACGAAAAACCCAGCTAAATGGAAAGATAAGATATATTTTATTATTTTTGGAATTTCTTTTTGTGATAAGAAAATTCTCATTATAGACAAATAAATGAGAGTTAATAAAGAAATAAATCAAATCTGCCGTTACAAATTGATTGCGATAATGATTTCCATTAAATCTGTTATAAAAAAATTGGTTTAAATAATTCAAAATCATTGAAATATCCAATAGCTGGTGTATATTCAGTAGCGCACTCACTTTGATGATGTATTGAATTTATCGTTAGAGTTATTTCCTCGTAATCTTTTCTGGGTTTTATTGTCAGTTCTTGTTTTCCTTAGCGAGCATTGACAGGGGTTCCTTTCTTCGGAAAGGAAAGAGAAGTTAGATGGGGAGATCCACTCTCTCCTTATTTATTTATTTTTCTTTTTGCGATTGTCGTGGAAGTGTTTTCTAGCCTTCTTACTTCCGCTGCAGAACAACAACTTAGGCATCGTCTACTTTGCTATGAAGCTCATCTTACATGATTTGATGAAAATTTTTCGGGAATAAGAACACTATCGGTGTCAAATATTAATATAATGTCCACATTGATGCCTCTAGCGCTTTACCCTCCTGCGATCAGACTATTTTTTGTGAGCCAAGACATAAGTCTAGATGCTGAAGATAAAATCGTGTTTCCGAAAACAAAACACCCATCCCGATGTCTGTGATCACTCCTGATGCAATCTTCTCCACTGCACTACCATGCCCTTCTTCGTCTGTGATCACTCCTAATGCAAGAAGATTCCTCCTAGTCAAGCGTCAAAGCTATTGATTTTTGTGAAAAGATTGTGGTTATTAAGTTGACAATATTGCTCAGAATCAGAGAGGATAGATGATTGGAAAGTGGTGTACTAGGAGGGCCATATAACCAACAAGATCCCAATATGGTTGCTGAATTTGATAAGCAAGTCATTAATGAAATTCTAGCAACTCCATTGCCAATCATCTCAACAGAGGATAAGCTAGTTTGGTCAGCAAATAAGTCTGGGTGCTACTTGGTTAAAAGTGATTATAATCAACTTCGAAAGATTGAAACCATACAAGACAACGGGCAGGCTTCAACCTCCTACCAAACGCCTAATTCTCTGTGGAGCAAGATCTAGAAGCTAAAAATACTCCCCAAAGTCAGATTATTCATGTGGAGCATATGCCAAAATGCTTTACCGACCAGGGTTAACTTGTACAAAAGGAAGTTTTTACCTGAGCCTTACTGCCCCATGTGCCGCAAGGAACCCGAAATGGTGGAACATCTATTTCTCCTATGTGATAGGACAAAGCAGGTTTGGTCTAGTCCAGAATTCAATTTTCAGTTCTCTCACCAACAAGTGACCAGAATCGAGGAGTGGTTGCTAAACTATGAAGATCTGACCCAAAAGAACCTACCCTTTGAAATCATCGCAGCCACTCTCTGAAATATTTGGTTAGCGCGTAATTCTTTTGTCTTCCAACACCAGATTCCTAGTCCCAAAAGCATAGTAGACTCAGCTTTTGCCATGCACTACAACTATGCGAAGTGGAACGGGAGTAACAAGGCGAGAGAGCGAGCATCGGAGGATTTACCTTCAAGGTGGAGACCACCATAGCTAGGGACGCTGAAGATTAACATCGATGGATCACATCTCCCGGGGTCTACGGAAGGGGCTTTTGCTTTTGTGTGCCGCGATTCTAAAGGGAGATTGATCGAAGGAGCTGCGCAATCAATCCGAGTGTCCTCCGCCCTTCACTCTAAAACCCTTGCTTGTCTCCACGCTCTTCAACACTTTGCTGGCCAATCTGGATAGAAATTTGTGCCGGAAACTGATAGCTCCACCTTAATAAGCTTCCTACAAGATTCCTCTCTCTGCTCGTGGGACGTTGAGCCCCTTATCACAGAATGTTTATGCTTCATGGCCCTTTTTGAGAGTCTTGAGTTAGCCTACTGCCCTCGAGATTTAAATAGATTAGCAGATTGAGTTGTAAAGGCCTCAAGATTTAAGGTCCTTCCACGTTATTGGGTTTCTTACCCACCACCCCCTATACGGGAGATCCTGTGTTTTGATGCCCCTTATTCTAGAGGGCTAGTTATTAAATGAAATGATAAGTCTCTATTATGTCCAAAAACAAAAAAAAAAAGTTGACAATATTGCTTAAGGAAGTTTTAATCAAGATGATAAAAATAGGCGTGTAAAGAGTTGTACGTATAGACGATATATATTCACAAAGATTCAGCAATTAACCTAAGCCAAAGATGAAAGTCCAACTGGATACAGGTTGCCATCAGCTAATCAAAGCTCATATGGAAAGATAGCTGCTGGCTAGTGCATTTTCAGTAGCACACTCACTCTGATGATGTAAATCTTATCTGAATTAATCGTTGGAACT